TTTTTTTATGTATGTTACCGCATAACTTTGGACCACGTCAACCGATTTCGATAATTCTTTTTGCATCGGAAAGGTAGTGTCTCAGAGGTGGTCCCATACTAATCTGGTTAAGATCCGATCAGCGGATCATGAGATATATATATATATTTTTTTTATATGGGAGTTGAGTCGGTTTTTTTTTTCTAAAAATTACTAGTCTTAGTTCCATGTTATTGTTTATTAAAAAAGCAGCGGAAAACTCTTTTTCCATTAATAAAATCTTATGTTTACGAGTCCGGACTGAAAAATAAAGCCCGAGGGCTGAAATTTTTTGTGACCGACAAAGAAATTTTCATATGGGAACGAGATAAAAAAGATTGGTTTTATTTGACACAGTCTAATATACATATGTATGTATGTAGGTTCATGTCCAAATCCTCTGCGGAATTTTTATATATATGAACAATTCTTTTTTTGTTACATGTACGTAGTAGAGCGTCGGTGTCCATTCAAACGACATGGCAAAGCCGGCGGGCCGGCTTTTTTAATTCGGGAGGAGGCTATTTGAAAATTCACCTATGCCAGAAAATGCGTAGAAATGCTGATGAAAAAAACAATGGATTTCTTGAAAAGTTATTTTGCTACTGGGCAATTTCCCTTTTATTATTACAAAAGAGATTTATCGTGAACTGGACGTGGATTTGAATGCGCTAGAAGTAAACCAGATCCGATATACAAATTTTACCAACAGGATACATAAAAATACACATGTATGTATGTTTGCATAAGTAAATATGTTTAAGAATGTGAAAGCTTAACAGTGTCAATGCCAAATCGATTTGTGGCACTTTAAAGGCGATATTTATTGCACATCGCTCTGATTATAGAATTTACATAGATCTAGAAAGAAACAGTCTACAGACATGCGCCAAGTTCATTGCCCAAATGAGAAATAAATAAATTTTATATGTCCGTGAAAGGGACGTTCTAGAATATACCTAAACTAGCAATAGCCGGCGCGCGTTGCTACGCCAAAGAAAGACACATGTATTTAGAGTTTTGAAACTGAAGACCTTTTTATTTACCTTAATGCTAACAGATAAACAATATTTTAAGTTTTTTCATTTGGTGTGTAAATATATAAATTTTGTGGTGACCCAACTCGTGAACAGGCGACGTATAATTGGCCATGTGAAAAGCACATTCAAACCCAAACCCGCTATAGTTAATGATTGCCCTTATGCTTTATTTATAGTTATTGCAAAAGCAAGACGCAATGGGAATTGAAGCCGCTTGAATTCGAACGGTAAATCGTTTGAAATCATCGGTATACGTGGAATCAACACATCTTCCCATTTGAATATACCGCTGATGATTGTTGCCTCGATCAAATTCGGTGTTAATTTTTTTTTATCACTGGTTCCGTTGCACAGTTTTGGCGCATTCAAGTTCCGAATAAGCATCACTGGTGATCCAACCTTTAACGCCAACGAATGAGGAGGCATTCCAGGTGGCTCCAAAGAATTAAGAAATTCAGGTGGGTAATTAACAGCTTGATCTTTATCCATTACTGCATCAATCGATTTATATTCGACTGCTTCTCCTACAATTTTTAATTGAATTTGACCGTTTAATTTACTAACATCATCGTTCTTCGGAGCTAAAATTGCACGTGTGCGGAGCCATTCCGGATATCGGTAGTTGATCGCTAAGTTCGGAAATACTCTGTCGATGACGTCTTGAATGCTCTGTTGCATTTGACAAAATTTGGACGGAAATGATATCTCATTTGTTGTCCGATCAATAGAACTTCACCATTTCCGAGATCCAAAAGTTGCTTTGAAAATATTTGGGCAGACGCATCTTGCAGCAAATCACAGTTCCACAGACACGATACTTTTGAGCACGCGTTCAACACCTCTGTAGCCGTTGATCGAGGTANCCGATCAATAGAACTTCACCATTTCCGAGATCCAAAAGTTGCTTTGAAAATATTTGGGCAGACGCATCTTGCAGCAAATCACAGTTCCACAGACACGATACTTTTGAGCACGCGTTCAACACCTCTGTAGCCGTTGATCGAGGTATAACGGATAATGTTTGAGGAAAATCACCTGCAATAAGTATACCAGCTCCTCCCATCGGTTGATCTTTTCCACGGAAATCTTGCATAGCTCGCTCAACTGCTTCGAGCGATTTCTTATGTGTCATGGTGCGTTCGTCCCAAATTATAATTTTGTACGTTTTAAGCACTATGGTCATACCAGAGTTTTTGCTGATGTTGCATGTAGGTGTTTCGTTCTGCTTCAAATTCAATAGAACCTTAAGTGCTGAATGCGCTGTACATCCGCCATCAAGTAGTGTTGATGCAATCCCCGGTAATGCTACTGCAATCCCATTTCGCATTCGAACTGACGCCAATATTAAATTGATGAGAAAAGTTTTCCCCGCACCTCCTGGATCATCTAGGGAGATAATTCCGCCATCTCCTTTGATTACAATTTGCATGATTTTGTTATAAGCTTTTTCTGATCAGCAACTAAAAACTCTTTTTGCGTTTGCACAAATCGTTATTAAAAATTTTATTATATTTTTTAAGCCCTATTAAATTATGCAATAATATTGAGCACTTTTTTAGTTTTTAAATATTAAACAAATTCGGTTTTTAAATTGCAACCTGGTGAAATTTTTCACAACCCTGGCATTAACGTGCATATATATGCACACATATAGATTTAAAAATTTAGAATCGGCATTTTCCTTCTGGTAAGCTTTCGGTTTGACAGACTTTGAAGTTTATCGCACTATATATCTTTGGCATTTCTTAAAAATATTATCCGATTTTATTTTCTTAGGTATGTGGCAACCCTATATGATAATTGGTCTTGACTGAAACATTTCCCGATAGCTCCCGTTTGATACGTATCCTGCGAAATACTTTTTAATGTACACATTTATGTCATTTTAGTTTTTTCTCCAATACCTTCCGTTTGATACACATATTGTAATATTTGGTGTGAGTTGCATTATTCATTATTTTTCAATTTTTGACCAGGTGACAACACTAACTAAAATATTTTTTGATGTAAATTTTCTTAAATATCTTTCCCAAATACCTTNCACTTTTTAATGTACACATTTATGTCATTTTAGTTTTTTCTCCAATACCTTCCGTTTGATACACATATTGTAATATTTGGTGTGAGTTGCATTATTCATTATTTTTCAATTTTTGACCAGGTGACAACACTAACTAAAATATTTTTTGATGTAAATTTTCTTAAATATCTTTCCCAAATACCTTCCATTTGATATCCACATCGTAATACTTTACTTGCATATTTAAATAAATTTTATTTTTATGACAGGTGGCAACTCTTTCAAAAATAGCCAAACTTCACAGGAACACTCTCCGGATTTCTATGAAGCTATCCTGGAAATTTTAACAAAATCCGCTGAGTGGTTTCGGAGTCTATAAGCTGCATAGACACATACATACATCCTCTTTTATATATGTATATAGATATGCACATATGTAAACCAGGGTTGGGGGTAGGGCAATGAATTGTAAGTTTAAAAAATAGGTGCCCAATACAAAATTTTTCACAACATACTACTCTTGATGTTTAGTGGCAAATTGCAGTATATCAGCCTCAGTGATAGTGAAATAAAAAATGTCCACTAAAATTAACAGGCGAATAGTGAAAAAAAGTTCTTCAGCCTAGAGATTGAGTCATGAGTATAAAAAGTAATTTCTCCGTTTTTCGAAGTTAGCCTCTGAAATCGAGATAGAGGCCTTCGAATTTCGAAATTGGACCTTTGGTAAAAAATTGTTTTTAATTATTGCATGTAAAAAGCAAAAAAAGTAATACCAAATACAGACGTGGTCGGCCTTTTGCTCTTATTTATATGGTATATTTTATATATATCGTCGTTTAAAGTACAAAACCGCGTAACTGACATTGGCTGCCAAAAATTGGATTTGCTCGCACAAACTCTTGGCTTAATCCTTATCCATTCAATATCCTAGCCATAAATGCGATTGCTGGATAAAAAAGAGAACCATTTTGAAATATGAATGTTTTTACTCTCTAGAAAATAATTTATGCAACCTCACATACGCGGTTTTGCATTATCTTGATACGTGGTTTTGCATTTTGTTGTTACGCGGTTTTGTACTTTAAACGACGATATGTATATATTTTTTGTGAAAACTTATATTACAGGTGCTATAACGGGTCAAAGGTCAAATCTTCGAAAAATTAAAAACTTTCAGAAAATTTTGAACTGATTTTTAAAATATTCATACCGCTGTAAAGGTGATTTAACCCCATTTATTGTGATATGCAAATTTGTATACCGCGTATATAAAAAATTTGAGAAAAAAAAACATATTTAAAGGAAAAAATACCTTTTTTTTTGTATAAAAAAATATTTTAAACAAAAAAATTACTCACCGATTTTTAAAAAAATGTATATCGTTGTAAAGCCGATTAAATCCTCTTTATTCTGATATGCATGTTTGTATACTTCGTGAATAAAAATTTGAGAAAAACACACTTAAAAGGAAAAATAACTTGGTTTACCAATATTTTAAACAAAAAAATTTCTCACCAATTTAAAAAAAAATCGCATCGTTGTTAAGGCGATTAAACCCCTTTTCGCCAAATATGCATATTTGTACACTTCGTATATAAGCATTTGAGAAAAAACACTTAAAAGCAAAAATACCAATTTTTTCTTATAAAAAATTTACAAAAAAAACACCAATTAGTAATACAATTGAATACCGTATTTAATGAAAACAAATAATTAATAATGTTTTAAGCGTTAATTCGTTTTGTTTACCCACAGCCCTGTTAAAAATAAAGCAAAAGTATATATGTAAGTATAAAATATGTCTAAGGCATGAAAAAATATAAAAACACCATGGTTTTTGATTTTTTAATTAAAGGTAATTTTACTAAGTATACAAATATGCATATCAGAAGAATGGGGGTTTAATCTTATTATATTTAATCTATTTTTTTTGATAAAAAAAAGTAATTTTTTCCTTTCAGGTGTTTTTTCTCAAATTTTTATATACTAAGTATACAAATATGCATATCAGAAGAATGGGGGTTTAATCTTAATTGTTAAAAAAAAGGTTGGTATTTTTTTGTTAAAAATATTTTTTTTTATAAAAAAAAAGTAATTTTTTCCTTTAAATGTGGTTTTTCTTAAATTTTTATATACGAAGTATACAAATATGCATATCAGATGAAAGAAGTTTAATTGCCTTTACAACGATACCAATTTTTTAAAAATCGGTTAGTATTTTTTTGTTTAAAACATTTTTTTTTTATAAAAAAAAGTTTTTTTTCATCTGAAGAAAGGGGGTTTAATTGCCTTTACAACGCCACTAACGTTTTAAAAATCGGTTAGTAATTTTTTTGTTTAAAATGTTTTTTTTTAAGCTATTTTTTCCTTTTAATGTGTTTTTTCTCAAGTTCGTATATACGAAGTATACAGATACGCATATCAGAAGAAAGGGGATTTAATCGTATTTACAACGATACCATTTTTTAAAAATCAGTTAGTAATTTTTTTGTTTAAAATATTTTTTTTTATAAAAAAAAGGTATTTTTTCATTTAAGTTGTGGTTTTCTAAAATTTGTATATTCGAAGTATAAAAATATGCGTATCAGAAAAGGGGGCAAATCCCTTTACAACGATGTAAATTTTTTTAAAATCTGTTCAAAATTCTTTGAAATATAAGGAATATAATTTTTCGAAGACCTGAACTTTGACCCCTTATAGCACCTATAATATAAGTTTGCACAAAAAAAGTTATATACCATTTAAATAAGACAAAAGGAGGACTACGTCTATATTTTTAGGTTTTTAGTTATTTACTTGCAATAATTAAAAATAATTGTTTCCCAAAGGTCAAATCTCGAACTTCCAAGGCCCATATCTCGATTTCTGAGGCTAACTTCGAAAAACGGAGAAATTACTTTTTTACCTATGACTCAATCTCTTAAAAAAATTGATTTGGTCCAATTGGTCCAGAAAAAAAGTTGATTTTGCCGTACAGAGTAATATTACATTTGTATATATACCCTGCAAGAAATGAGACAAGTTTGTAGCTAACTATTAACTAACTATCAGTCGACTAGTGGTAACTATTTATTAACTATTTCCTTTGGTCGTAAATAACTACTTTTGAAGGACGATGGCCGCAAAGTGAAATTGCCCGCAAATCGGGAGTTCCCCACTCGTTGGCTTCCCTGATACATGTCGTCGTCTTTGGATGGGGCCCTCCCAGTAAAAATCGTCACGTTGTAATTTAATTTTAATAAACCACTTAAGTAAATATCTAATAAATTTTATTTTCAAGAACATGGGTTTATACATACATACAAATTTATAGTGAAATAACATTTTAATTTTGACAAGATACTTATTAATAAAATTTCTTTTCTCCGAGCCTTCTGTTCCAAAAAAAGAATCTATAACATCATCAAAGTTTAAAGATAGAGCCATAGATCTTTCAATAGATAGAATAGCCAAGTTATGTAACTTGTCTTGTCCCATGATCGTTCAGCACCTGTAGGCACAGGAATTGGAACAAATAACATTAATGTAGTACATACTCCAGGAAAGCAGGACGTCATAAAATAAAGTATATGTATTTGGGCATTCCCAACCTTACGATCATACGCTTCAAAAAACAAGGAAAACATAAATTTTTATTATTTTTTTATGTTTCGATAGAATTTTGCTATGTATATCTTTGGTCCTAAAAGGATAATCTTTTGATTTTTATTGTTCAATATATGTGCGTTCCAGATGCTTCACGATTTGCAGGTTTTTACAGGAAGTCGTTCCAGGTGACTACCTCCCATTAAGTTTATTAATGGAGAAAACATGTTATGTTAGCAATAATCATCGGTACGAATAATGGATGGCAATTTTGGCTGCAAAATGGAAAATGCAATAAACTGCGAAATGGAACAAGCGATTAATTTTATATTAAAATGGAATAAAGGTGCTTCCTCCTAACTAATTGCGCGTTGAAATATCTTTATTAGTTTTTATACCCGAGCGCACTTGTGCACAAGGGTATTATAACTTTGTTCACATAACGGTTGTTTGTAACAGGCAAAACGAATCGAGATAGATATAGACAAATGTATACATAAATGATCAGAATGAAAAGAGAAATCGATTAAGCGGTGACCGTCCGTCCGTCTGTCCGTCCGTCTGTGCACACGATAACTCGAGTGATAACTCGAGTANGAAATCGGACTAAAATTACGGCCGCTTTTCATATATCGGTAAATTTCAGAAATGTTTGAAATTTCAATATTTTGAAATTTAAGGACGCTAGTTTACTTAAAATTTATACACGTCGGCTTATCATGTAGCGGTAGCTTTCGGAAAGGTGGAAAACATATATTTAATACTTGCGCCGGGTATTTAATGTTCAGCTCCGCCCGAACTTAGACTTTCTTACTTGTTTATTTATAATCTTAAGTATCGTTCGCGAACTTACGGCTGAGTCGATTTAGCAAGTCCATCTGTATGCTCGTTTGAACGCAATTTAGTCCCTTAGTTTTGAAGATATCCGACTAAAGTTTGGTAATCGAGTGTATTTTTATAATTTGATAATCATTTGTCGGAACCGTCAAAATTGGTCCACTATAACATATAGCTCCCATACAACTGATTGTTCATTTTAGTTATGGGTCCTGGTTGGCCATTCTGTGGAAATGCTCATATAGTCTTTAGTTGTGCCTCACTTTAATTGATTGAAGATTATAACTTTTAAGTACTTAGTTTTCTTGAAAATGTTAGGATCTTGGATCGGGGGCCGTGTCATTTTACCAGCCATGCTACCCTATAGTTACGCCTCTGCGCTAATGTATACATATGTAAGCATGTCTAATTTTTTGTCACTGCAACTAAATGAGATTACTGAATTATTAACAAGTTGTGAAAGTTTGGTGATCAGATTTCTGTGGACAGAAATGGCGACATTTCCAAGGTATCCAATTCGAGCATAGAATTTTGTTTTTAGAATAAAAGACATAACATCTTTTAATACAATTTTATTCAAAACAAAATAAAAAGAAACAAATTGGAACTGATCGCAAAAATGTATACGCACAGAATATACGGTGGCGAGAATGTAAATAGGGAAAAGGCATTATAGCAAGCTGTAGCTACTCGTCTTTGTTTAAATTTTTTTTTATTATTTTTTATGAAAATATAGATTACCATCTAAAAAAAAAACAAGTAAATCAAAATCGATTAAGCGGTGACTGCCTGTCCGTCCGTCCATCTGTGCACACGATAACTCGAGTAAAAATTGTGGTATCTTAACGAAACTTGGTACGTATACTTCTTTCGGACGTAAGACGGATGGTATTGAAAATCGGACAATAACCACGCCTACCTCCCATATAACGGTAGTTTTTAGAAATACGAAAACTGCAATATTTTAGTAACTACTGAAGATTATTCACCCAAAATTGATATTTACAATAATTTTTAGACGAAAAACAAGAATATTAAAATTTTTTTGAAAGTTGGCGTATATCTTGGGAACCGCTTCACCAATTTCGCCCAAACTCAGCACAGTTTTTGGCTTTGACACAATATATCAAAATTGATGCTTGCAATGATTCTTTATCAAGAAATACGTTTATGATAAAATTTTGGAAAATGGGCGTGGCACAGCCCACTTATGACCACATATATGTATCTCGGTAACCGTTCTACCAATTTGTACCAAACTCGGCACGGTCCACATAATAGCAAAACGCTGAAAATTATTGAAATCGGCCACTTTTCATATAACGGTAAATTTCAGAAATGCTTGAAACTTCGATATTTCGAAATTTAAGGACGCTAGTTTACTCAAAATTAGAATTAACAAAATCCCTTGAAAAGAAGTAGCTCTATTATGGCATTTCGGAAAGTGGGCGATGGGATCGAAGATGTTCGAAATAGGGGTAAAACCACCCCTGCTTACCATTACTACCGCTAGTTTTCGGAAAGGTGAAAGACATATATTTAAAACTTGCGCCGGATATTTAATGTTCGGCTCCGCCCGAACTTGGACTTTCTTACTAGTTTTAGAATTGTTTTGGGTAGGCAGTTTTGTAGCCCACTAAGTTTTAGCATAATAAAGTTGAAGTTTAAAGTAGCTTGGACTTAATGTTAATTTTTATACCCGAGCGCACTTGTGCACAAGGGTATTATAACTTTGTTCACATAACGGTTGTTTGTAACAAGCAAAACGAATCGAGATAGATATAGACAAATGTATACATAAATGATCAGGATGAAAAGAGAAATCGAATAAGCGGTGACTGTCTGTCCGTCCGTTCGTCCGTCTGTGCACACGTTAACTCAAGTAAAAATTAAGATATCCTAACGAAACTTGGCACGTGTACTTCTTTCGGGCGTAGGACGGATGGCATTGAAAATGGGCAAAATCGGACAATAACCACGCCCACATCGCATATAACGGGAATTTGGAGAAATACGAAATCGTCGATAAATCCGTAAATATTGAAGCCAATTTATTCAAAATTGATACACCCCGGCTTACCATGTAGCTGTAGCTTTCGAAAAGGTGAAAAGGCATATATGTAATACTTGCGCCGGGTATGTATTTAATGTTCGGCCCCGCCCGAACTTAGACTTTCTTACTTGTTTGCAATGTATTTTGTTCGCACATTTTCTTCCATACATAGTATGTTCGAAAATTCTTTTATATGGATAAAATGAGCAACTCCTTGAACGATAAGTGCTAGCTACTAAAATTTGCACTTTGAATTGAATGGGTCACAAAACAGCCTACTCAGAATGTTTCTAAGAAATCTAATTCAAAACTCAAAATTTTGATGAAAATTTATCGAATTTTGCTAATTTTTGCACAAAGTTTGATATTATATCTAACATGGCCTTTGTTAGATAACGAGGAACACTTTCATGGACAAATAAGAAACATTATATAATCGAAAGGGGAATAACCAAAGGTTGCTAAAATATCTCTTTAGTATTCATTTGGCTCATTCCATCTCAAATCACCAGGCCGGGGGAAAGTGAATTTAAGTTTGCGATAAAGCTCACTTGAACAATTTATGGAGACACGTATTTTTTCTTTTTGCTCAGAAATGCGAATTTTCGGAATAATGAATGTTTCCTTTTTGAGTACGTACGCTTCTTTTTTCCTCTCATAATAGCAACTTTTGATGAAATCGTTTATAACTGCCGCAAAAAAGCAAGGATTTTAACGATTTTTTTTAAATTGCAGATATTGATCTACTGAATCGATCTAGTGAACTAAACACCAGTAATTGTTTATTAATAATTAACTATTGTTTATAAACAAAATTTTTTTTTTTTTAATTAATTTTTTTAAATTGCCACATCTTTTTTTCTCTCAAACTTTTTTGTCCATTAGGGAATAGTACAAACTATTTTCAGTACGAGTAGCAATATGCTAAAATTCGTCATTTTCGTGTTATGATTATTTTTCTGAAAATGCACTGCTAGCTGCACTGATGCTAGCAGATTTTCGTGCCAGTTGAGGGCACAAAAATTGTTGCCCATTATGACAAAATTTCCTTGCTGGAAATTTTTTGAGGTTGCCCGATCAGAGCCAAAAGTTTTTCCCAATTGGGCTCTAATTTTGACCCAATTGGGGCCCAATTGGCGATTTGCCCAATCTACCGAAGATTTCCCCAACCAGTGCTCACAATTTGCTCAAAGTGAACATGCATACGCAATTAAAACGTTTTTATCGATAAAATCACACATACACACATCAAAATTCGCTACGAAGAAAACTATTTTTTAATTATTTTCTTGAAAAATTTTTCACATACACACTTTTTGATTTTTAGTATAATAAAGTGGAAGTTTTAAGCGATTGCAAAACAGCCGTAATTTTTTTTTAATTTTCTTTGAAAGCGGTTTTAGGCATTTTCATCGATAAGGAAAAAGTGCAAGAAGCCGTGAGCATAAACAATATTAAAAATCAACGCAATTTTGCAGTAGCTTAACACTTGCACTTTATTATACTCAAATTTAATGGGCTACAAAATTGCGTACTCAAAAAAATTCTAAACAAAATTTCACGAAAAAAATTAAAAAATATTTTTTTTTCGTAGGGAATTTTGATGTGTGTATGTGTGATTTTATCGATAAAAACGTTTTAATTGCGTATGCATGTCCACTTTGAGCAAATTGTGAGCACTGGTTGGGGAAATCTTCGGTAGATTGGGCAAATCGCTAATTGGGCCCCAATTGGGTCAAAATTAGAGCCCAATTGGGAAAAACTTTTGGCTCTGATCGGGCAACCTCAAAAAATTTCCAGCAAGGACATTTTGTCATAATGGGCAACAATTTTTGTGACCTGAACTGGCACGAAAATCTGCTAGCATCATATAAGTGAATTTTCAGAAAAAAGATCATAGCTCGAAAATGACGAATTTTAGCACATGCTACTCGTACTGAAAATAGTTTATACTATTCCCTAATAGACAAAAAAGTTTGAGAGAAAAAAAGATGTGGCAATTTGAAAAAATCAATTTGAAAAAAATAAAATTTTTTTGTTTATAAACAATAATTAATTATTAATAAACAATTACTGATGTTTAGTTTACTAGATCGATTCAGTAGATCAATATCTGCAATTTAAAAAAAAATCGTTAAAATCCTTCCTTGTTTGCGGCAGTTATAAACGATTTCATCAAAAGTTGCTATTAAGAGAGGAAAAAAGAAGCGTTCGTACTCAAAAAGAAAAAAATTCATTATTCGAAAAATTCTCATTTCTGAGCAAAAAGAAAAAAATACGTGTCTCCTTAAATTGTTTAAGGAACAATCCCTGTGAGTTTTATCGCAAACTTAAATTCACTTTCCCCCGGCCTGGGTGATTTGAAATGGAATGAGCCATTTCTATAATTTCACTAATTTAAAGTTCGAATCGTTTCATTAAAAAAAACTTAACAAATAATTATAAAAACCTTAAAAAAATGAGACGAGAATGATAGACTGCAGGGAGCACCAGTTAGACACATAACCAAACATCATAGAAAATACGGAAAATAAGGATGCTGGCTTTCTTTATGGCTTCGTTACATTCTATGTTCTTTGTGATAGCGAAAGTGTTGCCACGTTTCACATTAGGTCAAATGATTCATTTGGCTGTGCGAAAGTCCAATTTCTTAAGAGCAGTTTTACATTATTTTTTGGTGCCATTCTGTAGGAAATACACCAAAATAACATAAACTTCACTTTGTTTTTGTAAAATAAAAAAAAAAAAACCGTTAGACAGCAACAAACCAAAGTTACACTTTCAAAACGTTATTGAAACGTTGTTTGCGCAGCCGGTTTATTTGGTAAGTTTCAAGTGCATTTTTTTTTTGTAAAGTTCGAATAATGAAAGGAAAATTTGAAATAGAAAACAAAACTATAAGTGAAAACCTATGTCACAATTTAAAAAAGTGACTTTTTATCATTTGTTTGCAAAAAAAAACTGACTTGTTGCATAACCTCAAAATTTTTCTGATTTATTTTCATTCATGATTTTATGTTCATAAGCTTTTACAATTTTGTTTACTTTCGGCAAATGAAATGGAAAAGGAAATGGATAAATTAAGATGTAATGAGTTTATTTTATTNCAAAACTATAAGTGAAAACCTATGTCACAATTTAAAAAAGTGACTTTTTATCATTTGTTTGCAAAAAAAAACTGACTTGTTGCATAACCTCAAAATTTTTCTGATTTATTTTCATTCATGATTTTATGTTCATAAGCTTTTACAATTTTGTTTACTTTCGGCAAATGAAATGGAAAAGGAAATGGATAAATTAAGATGTAATGAGTTTATTTTATTTTACTTAGCCCGCCGTTTTTAGCCGTTTACAAGAAAAACGGGGTTTTTCTGGGCTATCATGCTATTACAAAAGGCGAGTTGTTTGAAGTTTGGCTGATTAGATGTTCGAAAAAAAGAAACCTTTTTTCGGTTGTCAACCATGTTGAAAAAAATTCGGCGCTGCTGATATTTGCGAAAGTTCCATGAAACTCTTAGAAGAAAAAACGCGTATTTTTTGCAATTATTTATGAAAGAAAGACGAGAATTATGGAAAGCAATTCGGAAAGGATGCTAAAATATTAAGATCTGAAAACATAGCGTTTCTTGCTGATGAAGTTCTTTTCGAAATCAAAAAGCCAACTTTGTCGACCAGCAGCCGGATTCTAACTTTCACTATCGCTAAAATGCTAAACTAGGAAAGCTCAATTTTTTCCGAATTATTAGCTATCCCCAAGAATTGCGGTTCTGTCCCCTCTTTCGCTAAAAATAGCTTAGCCCAAATTTTTTGGTGATAAATAGTCAATTTTAATGGTGATAAATAGTGAAAATGGAAGTATAAGAAGCAAAAAAATAGCAGCCTCAATTTGGATTACATTTCATCTCCTGTAGCGTAGCCATGGCCATGTTACAAAGGCACTTGCGCCGATTCGCTAAAAGGCAAATGCTTGAGAGAATGTACGGATTGAAACTTCGAAATTTTTTACTCAAAGTGAATAGAGTTTTCAAAAACATTCGTATTCTTTCCAGGAAGTTACCAGCGATTTTTGGTAAATGTTTCACAAAGCAGCATTTGCATTCTGAATATAAATAATATCGATGGGGAATTTGGGAATACTAGAACCTCAAGTGAAAATGAAGTGTTTTATGACGACTAACTGGTTTAGAAATCTCTTCTCAAGGCATATCTGCGAGAAATGTAATACATTTTTTTCTTTTTATACCCGAGCGCACTTGTGCACAAGGGTATTATAACTTTGTTCACATAACGGTTGTTTGTAACAGNATTCCAAACTTGGCACAGTTATTGGTCCTGGCACAGCATACCAAATGGCCGAAAATTTTTATAATCGGACAATAACCACGCCNCCTTTTTTCGGTTGTCAACCATGTTGAAAAAAATTCGGCGCTGCTGATATTTGCGAAAGTTCCATGAAACTCTTAGAAGAAAAAACGCGTATTTTTTGCAATTATTTATGAAAGAAAGACGAGAATTATGGAAAGCAATTCGGAAAGGATGCTAAAATATTAAGATCTGAAAACATAGCGTTTCTTGCTGATGAAGTTCTTTTCGAAATCAAAAAGCCAACTTTGTCGACCAGCAGCCGGATTCTAACTTTCACTATCGCTAAAATGCTAAACTAGGAAAGCTCAATTTTTTCCGAATTATTAGCTATCCCCAAGAATTGCGGTTCTGTCCCCTCTTTCGCTAAAAATAGCTTAGCCCAAATTTTTTGGTGATAAATAGTCAATTTTAATGGTGATAAATAGTGAAAATGGAAGTATAAGAAGCAAAAAAATAGCAGCCTCAATTTGGATTACATTTCATCTCCTGTAGCGTAGCCATGGCCATGTTACAAAGGCACTTGCGCCGATTCGCTAAAAGGCAAATGCTTGAGAGAATGTACGGATTGAAACTTCGAAATTTTTTACTCAAAGTGAATAGAGTTTTCAAAAACATTCGTATTCTTTCCAGGAAGTTACCAGCGATTTTTGGTAAATGTTTCACAAAGCAGCATTTGCATTCTGAATATAAATAATATCGATGGGGAATTTGGGAATACTAGAACCTCAAGTGAAAATGAAGTGTTTTATGACGACTAACTGGTTTAGAAATCTCTTCTCAAGGCATATCTGCGAGAAATGTAATACATTTTTTTCTTTTTATACCCGAGCGCACTTGTGCACAAGGGTATTATAACTTTGTTCACATAACGGTTGTTTGTAACAGGCAAAACGAATCGAGATAGATATAGACAAATGTATACATAAATGATCAGAATGAAAAGAGAAATCGATTAAGCGGTGACTGTCTGTCCGTCCGTCCGTCCGTCCGTCCGTCCGTCCGTCCGTCTGTGCACACGATAACTCGAGTAAAAATTGAGATATCTTAACGAAACTTGGTACGTGGACTTCTTTTGGGCGTAGGACGGATGGTATTGAAAATGGGCGAAATCGGACAATAACCACGCCTACCTCCCATATAACGGTAATTTTCAGAAATACGAAAACTGCGATATTTTAGTAACTACTGAAGATAATTCACTCAAAATTGATACTTACAATGAGTTTCAGACGGAAAACATGAATATTATAAATTTTTGGAAAATGGGCGTAGCCACGCCCACTTATGGTTACATGTGTATATCTTGGTAACCGCTGCACCAATTTCTTCCAAACTTGGCACAGTTGTTGGTCCTGGTACAGCATACCAAATGGCCGAAAATTTTTAAAATCGGACAATAACCACGCCCACATCTCATATAAAGGTAATTTAGAGAAATACGAAATATTCGATAAATCAGTAAATATTAAAGCTAATTTATTCAAAATTGATGNTTACATTTCATCTCCTGTAGCGTAGCCATGGCCATGTTACAAAGGCACTTGCGCCGATTCGCTAAAAGGCAAATGCTTGAGAGAATGTACGGATTGAAACTTCGAAATTTTTTACTCAAAGTGAATAGAGTTTTCAAAAACATTCGTATTCTTTCCAGGAAGTTACCAGCGATTTTTGGTAAATGTTTCACAAAGCAGCATTTGCATTCTGAATATAAATAATATCGATGGGGAATTTGGGAATACTAGAACCTCAAGTGAAAATGAAGTGTTTTATGACGACTAACTGGTTTAGAAATCTCTTCTCAAGGCATATCTGCGAGAAATGTAATACATTTTTTTCTTTTTATACCCGAGCGCACTTGTGCACAAGGGTATTATAACTTTGTTCACATAACGGTTGTTTGTAACAGGCAAAACGAATCGAGATAGATATAGACAAATGTATACATAAATGATCAGAATGAAAAGAGAAATCGATTAAGCGGTGACTGTCTGTCCGTCCGTCCGTCCGTCTGTGCACACGATAACTCGAGTAAAAATTGAGGTATCTTAACGAAACTTGGTACGTGGACTTCTTTTGGGCGTAGGACGGATGGTATTGAAAATGGGCGAAATCGGACTGTAACCACGCCTACCTCCCATATAACGGTAATTTTCAGAAATACGAAAAGAGCGATATTTTAGTAACTACTAAAGCTAATTCACTCAAAATTGATATTTGCAATGAGTTTGAGACGAAAAATAAGAATATTAAAACATTTTGGCGAATGGGCGTAGCCACGCCCACTTATGGTTACATGTGTATATCTTGGTAACGGCTGCACCAATTTATTCCAAACTTGGCACAGTTATTGGTCCTGGCACAGCATACCAAATGGCCGAAAATTTTTATAATCGGACAATAACCACGCCCACATCTCATATAAAGGTAATTTAGAGAAATACGAAATATTCGATAAATCAGTAAATATTAAAGCTAATTTATTCAAAATTGATGGTTACTACAATTCTTAACAAAGAAATATGTTTGTGATAAAATTTTGGAAAATGGGCGTGGCACCGCCCACTTATGATCACATATATGTATCTCGGTAAACGTTCTACCAATTTGAACCAAACTCGGTACGATTATTGTGCTTGCCACATAAAATCAAACCGTTGAAAATTGTTGAAATCGGACTAAAATTGAGGCCGNTTTTCATATAACGGTAAATTGCAGAAATGCTTGAAATTTCAATATTTCGAAATTTAAGGACGCTAGTTTACTTAAAATTTATACACCCCGGCTTATCATGTAGTGGTAGCTTTCGGTAAGGTGGAAAACATATATTTAATACTTGCGCCGGGTATTTAATGCTCGGCTCCGCCCGAACTTAGACTTTCTTACTTGTTTTAATTTAGGAATTTCCAGAAGAAACCCGTTATGTACATGTGACCATACTTATTTTATTACGTAGCTCATTGTAAGCGGGAGGGGGTTGAGTATATTAAGGAAATAACTTGTGTCAAAACCAAGCTAAGTACTACTTAAACACATATACTCATAATTTGAACGTACAAAAAAGCAGAAGAGTCTGTTTTACGAAAGACAAGTTTCCACATTTTATTTACTACCTTTACACTATTTTTAACGTAAGTATGTCATCTTTTTACATTAAAATAATGCACTATTTTAGCTGTTATTAATTTCGCACAGAAAAAGTTATCATTTGACCTAATGTGCGTTTGTGCGAAAACTTGTTTTTTTTTTTGAACATAGTACAAGGATACTCTTATTAAATTAATAAAGAAAACACTGAAAATCGGGACTTAATCGGTACAAATATGAAAAATTGGAACACCTATACGTCCCGACTTTTAAAAAATATTCTGCTGGACAATTTTCTTAAAATCGTTACTGTCCCCCCAAAATCGGTACGAATGGTCACCGTATATATATTACACCGGAAATTGAAAGACTTGACAAACAAACTCTGAGTTCATTGAAATGTAATTGCATTGGCCTTATTGTTAGTCAGATTTTGTATTAAATGGCTCTCTCTCCTTTCATTTCAGTATAAACTTCACATAGGAAGCAACGCAAATGGCTCAACCTCAGTTACTACAAATTAAACTGTCGCGTTTTGACGCCCAGCCTTGGGGCTTTCGATTGCAGGGAGGTGTTGACTTTGCTTCCCCACTAGTCGTGCAAAAGGTATGTCAAATTTATTTTGAATCGATAAGCTAAATAACACTCTCGAGTCTAAAGATGTATTCCGAGTATTTATTGTCAATATTTCCAAGATTTATATGCATATGTGTAATTACAGGGTGTGTATGTAACTTACGTATATTTTCAGCCGGATACAGTGATTTTATTTTTAAATGGTTTGTTTAAACAATTTGGTATTTAAACGTTTCCTACATTTCTTATGGGGAGCGGAGGCGTAATAGAGCAAATTTGCGCACGTCTCGCTTGCTATTTTTATTAATAGTCTTGACCATCTATTTACTGGACAGTACGTCTGTCAAATGAGTCTTTTTCGAAAAATATTGCAGCTTTTTGAGTTACTTTGTATATATGTACATATTTATATATGTGAATATTAAATTAAACACGTTTAGTGTAGTATATTTTTATATATGTAGATATCTACATACATAATTATTTTTACTACGTGTTCTTCAATGTTTAAGTTTTTGTTGTGGTGCTATTTGTTTCAATGAAAAAAAATAAAACCGCAAATATTCGCTTTATTTTTGTTGCTATTCATTATCTATGCAGCTATAAGAATTGATCGCTATTTGAAAAAATGTTCCATTTCCCATAATTGTAACGGCAGTCGAAACGAAATCTGCAAACCCATGGATCCCTAAAGAGAGCTCGAATGGTGAATTCGTAAATAAAAGTTTACTTGGGGATTTTGTATAGTGGGTTTAGAGCCGCTCCGACAAATGAGGATTCAAGCAGATTCATTTTTATAAATTTGAGATTAAACAAACAGGTATTACGGAAATAAATTTTTAAAATGGTGAGGAAAGCTACAAGGAGTATTCGAAATTCTTAGACAAAACAGAATCGCTGTTTTCTCATTGGTTATCTTGGCTGATATCTTAGTGGATCCTTTACATATACCCTTTCCATTGACAAACTGACGTGCTTCCAATTTCGGAATCGCAAATATTCTGCGTCTTAATTTTCAAATTACGTGATCCAATATTCGCAAATCGCAAAATTTTTGCAGCTTCAAATCGGTTGCCGCTGAGACGGTGGTATGAAAAGTAAATTTCAAAATTAACTCAAATAACAAACTAGTTTAGTTTTAATTATCTCCTTTATATTTTGCGATATTTTTGGCGTCCTAAAGTTAATTTTTTATGTTGATTTTATTTTTTTTTAATTTACTATTTATTATGCAAATCTCATTTCTGGGCAACGAAAATTTTTGGAAGCATCGAAGATTTACAATTTGGGGCGATAATTGTTGCATACCTTCAAGGATTGACTGTTAAGAGTGCTGAAATTAAAGTGGAAAATAGAACCTATCGATAAAAAAAAGTTGCGAATTCGGGAGCACCCAAAAGTAAAAACGAACGATTTTTACGAAAACGTAAATCGCAAAAGTAAGTGAAAATGGGGGCACGGCTGAAAAACTTTCGGTAAAAGTTAGTTTGCAGGCATAGATTTTACATCCTATTCTCTGTGCTTTGGTTTTTGGGCGCGGACGCTGCTTCGATCGGAGTAGATTTACTCCGATTAATTTTTTAAATTTTAAATCTACTCCCTACCCCGCTTGACCTTAAATTTGCTTAGATTTTTTTTTCCATTCACATTAAGCATTTTTTTTAAATATGGTAACTTAAATTTTTGCTCAATAACTTCTGTGGCAACCATCAAGGTTTTGTATAGCAACGTGTAAGAGAAGTTGTCTCTTTTACTCCTTAAAATTCCTTGCGGAATCACTTTTTATTTCCCAAAGCAGGGGATTGATTAAGGACCAGAAAAATATTTTGGAAAGGTGTATGTTTAACAACTTGGCAGAGTATATGCTGACTTAGTTTTTTTACCGCATAGTAGTGCCGCTTCTGAAAGAAAAATTTCAGAGATAAATCTCGTTAAAAACAAATACAGAGACAGGCTTTATGTCGAAACAGTTGAAAGTTAAACCAAAGGTCAGAATTTATACGCCGTCTGATTATTCATTCCATACAATATCTACCACTCAATATATTTTTTTACATTCGTAACTTCTACAGTTTTGATGTTTCCATTCTCAAATTTTTACAGCGTACTCCATAAAATTTGACAACTATTCAGGTTGAAAAAATAAAAATCAAACATGATGAAGTTAATAAAAAAATAAAAAATAAGAAATGCAACTTTTTAATATAATTTTTATTTTTTATTTTAATACATCTCACATTTTATTGAAAATCCGAAGTAATTACGCACATTTTGATACCGTAACTGATTTGCTCCGTGAGTTCAAAATTTCGGGAATTTCTTTTCGAGATTTTCGAATATCATGACGAAACAAAATAATAGGTGGCTTATTTTTTCGATAAAGAATGTAAAAAAATATATTTGACCAAAAAAAAATATTGAGGTTCAAATATTGTATGGAATGACCCATCAAATTCTTTGACTACTTAAGCATTGAAAATGGGAATGATCTCATTATTGTTATTCAAAAATGTCATAAATATAAAATAATTTACTGGCTCCTGTGTATAATGATACACTCATGCTAAAATGAAAAGTGAATGAATTTGATTTATATACCAAAATATTGTTAAAAAGAAGAAGTCTGGCGTTGTACAGTATTTTCTGTTACCTAGATTCATAATTTTGGTTTGAATAAAAATGTACTGAAAAGTACTGATTCTTTTAGCATTAAAAAGTCTAACGTACTGATTTCGCGCATAAAAAATCTGACAACACTACCTGAGATCTACCACATTTTTTTGAAATCGACATTTTTTCCAGATTCTAGCAAAAAACACCACTAAACAATTTAATGAAACAAACCAAACACTTTTTATACAAACAAATGCAGCTTTTGTTGGCCACGCTTTTATTGCCACCAGGGATGCCGTTTGGATCTAAATAGATCCAATTGGATACATTTTTAGACAAATTTTTGCGGGATACTTATTTTTTCCGGTCAGTATAAATGTGGATACTTTTTTAAATAGGCCAAAATTTTATATTTCCTATAAAGTTTTTTTCGTTCAAAAATCGATTTTCATTAAAGATGGTAGAAAGCATTACGTTTTATAAACGTGTAAAGAATCGCTACTTAAGCGTGAAATTAAAGCATTTTATTTTTTGTGAACGAAGCAATGAACATATGAAGAGATCTCACCAAAATAGGTATAAGCGCAATTATGTTAACTAGCTTATAAGGATGCTTTAAGCAAGATCTTAATAAACATATCGTCGTTTAAGGTACAAAACCCCGTATCAACAAAATGCAAAACTGCGTATCAAGGTAATGCAAAACCTCGTATGTGACGTTGCATAAATTATTTTCTAGAGAGTAAAAACACTTATATTTCAAAATGGTTCTCTTTTTTATAAAGCAATCGCACTTCTGGCTAGTATATTTCAGGACGAATGGATAAGGATTGAGCCAAGAGCTTGTGTGAGCAAATCCAATTTTTAGCAGCAAACGTCAGTTACGCGGTTTTGCAGAATGACGATACGCGGTTTTGTACTTTAAACAACGTAATATATAAAGTAAATTATACTCTTTCTGTAGTAATCTCTTTCATATTACATATTTTCCTTTGTTAATTTAAAAAGAAATAAGATTTCAATGTAGTTTAAAAAAATAAATTTGATTTTTTTAAGGAAACTTTTATGAATTTTACTGAAAAAATTTTGCTTATTTGCACATATTGAGAGAGGTAACCAGATTCCTCTTTTAATGTGTGCAAATTTGCACGCCGTGTAATAAAATTAATCATTGCATGTTTACTTTTACACATAAAATGTTTAAAATAAAGTAATGTTTATTATTAGTAGGAAATCTATTTGTAGTTTGAAAATTTTTGCAATTTTAAACATTCTATATATGTGTATTAATGTGCATATTTTAAAGATCTCAAGTTCAAAATCAAATACTGAACAGCCTATACGTATATTTATACAGATTCTTGTTGAAAAATAGATACTTTTCAGTAGTAGTTTTACATGCTCTTTTTAGAGTGTACTTGCTATTTATTATATTTACTTTGCAAAATACTTATGCACAAAAAATGTACTTTATAAATTGAAATTACAAATGTTTGATTTTATGCACATGTATTCCAAGTCCTTAGGATGGGTTAAATTATGTCTTTTTCATGAAAATGTTTGGTTTTCTTACAAATTATGAGATGTATATGTAAAAAAAGAAAATTGGATACATTTGGATACATTTTTGGCTTGGTCAGGGATACATTTTCTTGAGACGGCGCGGCAACACTGATTGCCACTAATTTCAGCACTTATCGAAGAAAATCGATCAAATTCCACGTATGTATGTATGCGAAATACTTTTTCACGTGGCGTCTATGCGCTGAAATGTACAGCTGTATACAATTGAAAATAGGCACTTAAACCTGTGCTTATGACTAATTTTATGAGAAATCGCATGCACAGTAAAGAAAATACGAAAGTTAGACATTTGGTGGGTTGTATTATCCCAGTAGTACCGAAAGTGTATGTGAAACCGTGGAGATTGTTATTGCATATTTTTATTGTTAATTATAATATTTGTTAAGGTTTATAGTATTGTTATTGCATGAATGACATATGCAGTGAATAGAAATAATGATAGTGATGATATTTTTAACTAACACAGTTACGGGTAGACGGAGAATCACAAAATGCAGCCAACACTCCACACGAGCCCGCGGGATTCCGCGGGTGCCCAAAACAGCCCAGAAAACGTTCCTCACGCTAAAAAATGGGTAATAGAGAGCGAGTACCTTCCGGTTTTGGATCGTAAATGTCTTTTTCTTCGTGCCCGAAACAGCCAGGACTTTTTTCCGGGCAGAAATGTGCAAGATGTCAATTTGAAATAACAGCTATTGTTTGCTTACATCCGAAAACAAATTTTGTAAAATACAAATATGGAAAATAGCACTAAAGTTTTAGAAATGTAGGTATGTATTTGCTAATTTTATGATCCATATAAGATAAATACACATAAAATCATTGAGGGCTGA